ATACTATATACGCGGATTTGCACTATCACCGACGATATGGACGTTCTGTATTTAATTTCAAGTTAATTAGTTTTTATTAATTTTGTTGTAGGACTATGCTATTATTACTTTCTATCTGTAATCATAGACGAGCAAGCGCTTTGTTAGCGCCGGGTTTTAATCGGATTAACACCCATTAACGCCCGAAACCGAGGGCAAAAACTATTTACAACTATTTGTAAATCGAGTTTTGTCCAAATGTAACGGTATTTCGCCTTTCTAGTGAATCAGTTTGATTGAAATGATTTTATACAAAAACTCATTACGTGAATCGATTTTCATAAAAATTTAATCGTAATGTGCATCCTTAGCGCCCAGGAGTTTTCGCGCGGCCGCCGCGCGGCGACCGCCCAGTTGCCACGCCTTCTTAATAATATACATTAATGTCGAATCTGAATTCTATTTACTAGGCAACAACATTTAAATTCCTCTGAATAATACAACCGCGCAGACCGCCGCGTAGACCAAATTCAGTCTCGCCCGCGTGGACGGTACGCTCATTTAAGTTAAAACATAAAAGCTAAATGTATAGAGTGTATTTTGCCATGACAGACGTGGTCGCTGCGCGGCAGCAACGCGGACTCGACTCGGCGACTGTCGCGAATCGCGAATTAATTTAATTCGATTAACGTAATCGAGTAACATTTTTATAAAAACTATCATAACGGTAGATTAAGATACGTATGACAGCCAACGCACTTGCGCGCTGCCCGATTTGGATTCTATCGAAGCAAGGCGGCCGTTGGACAGTTTACGTTCATGCGAAGATTGGTGAGTTTCTTTGCATGTTTATTATATTACTTGATATCGTTACATTTTGCCCTTCTACTATTCTATTATGTGAATTAACAGTGTGTATAATGAACAAGCCTCACCGTGAGTTATTCAGATAATCAGAAATCACATTCAATTATCAGTCCTCGCGACTCGTAGAGTCTATTCAGTATATTGTGAGGTTGGGGATGACTGTAAGGGGCGGTTGGAGGCCACTCCGGGGTATTGACCCCAATTCAGTTCTGTATACTATCTGATTAGTTAGTTGCGTAACACTACATGACAGGTTGTTCTCCCATGCAAATCAGTTTGAAGATGCATGTGCTCTTTATGTGTAGGTATGCATATAGGTTGTTTTTATCAGTTTAATCGCCATTCTTTAGGTCGTTAGTGAATCGGCTACAGCGACCGCGCGGGATGAGCGCCATGAGATTCGTGTCGAAGAAATGCGATAGAGATGGGTCGTCGACGCGTTTTCCGTTAACGAAACGCAACCGTCCATCGTCGACGATCAACTAGTTAAATTTGTCGACTAGCCGATCATTCAACTTAAGTTGATTTTCGTTCGTAAGACGAGTTTAACTGAATCAACTAAAGTAGCTTTTGAGAATATGAACTATAGTTTTGGAAATTAATTCATTTCCAATGTTTAACATGAGCGCGGCTATCGACGCTTTTAACATACTGCAATAGAGTTTAATTCCGATAGATTCAAGGGCATTGCGTCACAACGGGCGCAACGCCTATCTCTCGCTCTAGCGAATTAACTATACCGTCATCCTTTTTGTATATTGAATGCACTATTGCAATAATAAATAGCATAACAGACCTATCTTACTTCATCGCACATATTCAAACATCAACTTACACATACAGAATTTAAAGTTCAACATAATTTGTCTATCTATGTAAGTCTATGTGTAATTCGACTAAGTCCGCACGTCGTCTCGTGACGCAGAGCGTTGATTAACGCGTGGACTCTCCGTTTAGCCGTCTACGAATTCTACTAGTTAACCGAAGAACGGTAGACCGTAGAAACGTCGATTGGACGTGAACGGTTGATTCGACTAGTTCGTCCATTCCACGCCCATCTCTAGAAGCGAGAGTCCACAGGATAGCAACGTGGATATTGTAGTGTTGAAAGATTTTAGAGATGAGATCTAAGAGATGCCGCGCCGTTTGACATTAGTACGCTACAGTACCAAAATCTTCAGGGACAGTGTGTCTCTAACGATTGTCCATAGACGTGAAGTAAAAAAAAATGTTGCCAACAAAATTCACCACTGAAATGGAAGCCCTATAACGTTGCGTCGCCGCATCTCTTAACCCAACAAAAACCTTTTGGAAAGCTCTATTGAGCCTGTGAAAGCTTTTACTATAAATAGGGAAAGCTGTACTTTAAATAGGGAAGGGCTAGCTGCAGAATAGTAAAGGCCTTCCACGAAGTAATTATAGTCTATATATTTGTTTTTTTACTCCCATCCACCCCTCGATGTTAATTTTCCGTGGTTATTGAAAATTTTACTATATTTGTTTTGTATTGATTTTACTTTTTATTGGTGTTATTTATATCCTACACTAGAATTGCCTTTTGTAATGTTTTTTTTATTATGTTATCCAGTGATGGGACAAACAAGTCGTGCGCCTGATGGTAAGCGACACGCCTGTCCGTAACAGTTGCACACTTAGGGCTTTAAATGAAAATATCTGAGGGGCGCTGCCATTGCGCTGGAACTGCTTGTGTTTTGTAACTTTTTAGTAGCAGTAGAGCTCTTTGTGAAAGAGTTCGTCCATTATTACCATTACGATGTCCTGGTTTTGAAGGGTAAGGGTGTTGGTGAAATTACAGGCACTTGGGACTTTTCAACTTATGTTTCAGGGTGACTGCAACTGTTATGGACAGGCGTGACGCTTACCAACAGGCGCACGATTTGTTCACATCATAAAAAAACTCTTAGGACACATTTTAAGATATTTAACTGCATCTGTGGCCTTACGGTTACCTTGCTGGACTACCACGCACAGGTCCCGGGATCGATTCCCAGGCCGGCAGAAATATTTGTACGGCCTACATTTATTTATCTTGTGAGTATGGGTGTAATTTGTGGTTGTCTATGTGTTTGTCCATGGCACCCGCGATACAGGGTTTCTCTAATGCGAAACTGTGTGTGAGTGTGTGCGTTATTATAACCCAGAGATATAAGGCTGGTTTCACAGCCACGCGTACAGTCCGTACGGACTATCCGCCAGCGATCTGCATGCGGAATTTCACGGCAGACAGCCGCCTATAATGAATGCACGTGTGTTTTGTGCAGCGTTCACGAAGAACGTGTTCAGTGTGTACGGAGCAATCAGCTTCACTGTAAAACGATGTTCTAACTTATGTTACTCTGCTCCAGTGCTCCGCGCGGATGGTCCGGAGTTAATCCGCGCTGCTCTGAAACCAGGCTTAAGTTGACAAGTCCCATGTGCGTGTACCGTTATCTTTCAAAACCGTCTACGCACTATACTTTTAACTCTGAAGGCCAACTTTATTACTCTATTTGTATTTGTGACTGAGCACTTAAAAAGAAATTTGGTGTGGCAATTTACATTATTTTCTTATTTATTTAAACTTTATTGCACACAAAGTAGTACAAATCGCGGACTTAATGCCATTAGGCATTCTCTACCAGTCAACATGAGAGCTGAGTTCAGATTAGATAATAGGGGTGCATAACATTACAAATAAAAACAGGTAAATAACGCACAAATAAATCAAGTCGTGCAGTTTACAGTGTCGTGGCTTGTATATTTAAATGAAGTTTTTCACATATAGCACGACACGATTGACTGTCGTTCACGATTTTTTATCGTTACAACGACAAACTGTCGTCACAGTGGGAACAGCTAGAACGACAGTCGTCAGACGATAAAAAAACGTGACGACAGATTGTCGCAGCTTCTATTGTCGTCACGTTTTATTTATAGCACGTATTCTGCTCCCGTACCCCGCGCCCTCTGCTCGCGTTGCAGTAGCGTTGGGTCGTAGCCATAGATGGACAAGGAGGCAGTCGTGAAACGATAAATTGTCGTTACGATCTAGTGGGAACAGCTAGTCACGACAGTCGTCCAACGACAATAAAACATGACGACAGTGGGAAGGCGCGCTGATCATTATTTTCACACAATATAAAATATACATACGATATGTAACATATCGATGCCTTACCTTCTCAAACTCGTATCTTAAAAAGAATGATTATACAGGAGACGGCAAAACTTTCTATGTATTTTAAATTTCTTTTCAAGGGTGTTAATTTGGTTGCATTACTTTAAGAATAAGTCAAAGCCAGTGTGTGTATATGAAGGAAATGTGATGTGAGATCAGCCTGTAAAATTCGTGTATATACAATCCATTTTTTGCATTTCAGTAATTTTGTGCTTTAAGATACGAGTTTGAGAAAGTAAGGCGTTGTATAATACAAACTATATCCATACATAAACAATCTATATACACAATGCATATATTATAGCACACGCTAGAAACTAATTTCAAGGGCTTGCTGTTATCAAAATCGACAAGTAGTCAATTTAAAAAAAAGTTTTAATGAATTAAAAATACACCGTTCACACAATTTGTAACTTAGTAGGGGCTGTACAATTGGTTTAAACGTATAGACAGAATAGACTTAAGCATAAGAAAAATAAATATATTTGCTGCTTATTATTTTGGCGGTATAACAGCCAAGTCCTTCATGGTCTTTACCAGTGTTGCCAGATGGTTACATTTTTCGTAACTTGAGAATCTCTTCCTTCATTTGAAGTCTGTCAGAAAAACGAAAATGTAACTTTTGCAACAAAAATTTAAGTTTTCTAGTGACTAAACGTAATTGTCGACACAATGGCCTTGGCAACATTGATTTTTACCAGAATTTTATGTTATTTAAAAGCTAATTTATTTTCCTTTTGTTTCAGGTTTCAAGAGCTAACGTGGATCAGTTAGCACTATGAAGCGCCGACTCAAGAAATTAAAAAATGTTTAAAAAATATAAAAGGACTGAAATAGGTCAACCATGACCTGAATCTCTATCGAACCTCACCAAGTTTGTGATATATAAAAGCAGCTACGTAAATAGGCCTATTTTAATATTAAAATATAATTAAAAATAGTTTAGATAAAAAATAAAACAAAAAAGTACTCAAAATCCCACGTTCCTTTTAGCTTAGTGTCAATTAGTAAAAAAAAACTACCAAAGTCATTAAATTTAGGTCCTACCTCTAAAAAATAAAACTATTTTTTTTAACCAAAGCTAGACTTAAAGATGTCAAATCAAATGCCAATTTATAGCCAAGTCGTACCAAAATCGCAATATCGGGCAAGAAATGGAAAAGGTACGAGAGAGAGACCGCAGAACTTGGCCCGATCGGACTTTGATCCGTTAAATTACAACCATGGTGGAAATTTCCAAGTTATGAACACCCCCATTGAGACACGACCTGAGAAAACAGAGAAAAAGGTATGTATAATTATTTCACAATAGCACCTCCAACTTATCTGTAATGTAGTATAAAGGTGACCGCATACTTGTCCGCGCTGAAAGAGCCGAAAGAATCGAATTTTAGATTTCGTTGCATGAAATCATATGAAACTTCGCACAACTTATCCGCGCCGAATACGACGAATCGCTAGAAGAATTCGGACGGTATTCAAATCCCAGACGAATTCGGATCATGACATCGATTCGGCGCCTACAACGCGGACAACGCGACGCACCAGCATTTTCCTTAAATTCACGTTTTGAATATTTATTTGTAATTTTTGAGCAAATTTAAAAAAGAATTACATTAGAAGTTTTTTTCTTATTAATTTGAACGTATTGCACTTTCTTCACAATATAAACCTCCTCAAAATTCATCACAATATTATATTGTGATGGAACTTGACGCGGCATCAGAAATAACGAAACAGGCAATTCTTTCGGTGCGGTCGTGTGCAAGGCTTAAAGAAACTTCTTTTGTTCGGCGCGGACAAATGTGCGATCACCTTAAACAAGAACCAATGCAACCACGTTAACAAAATGCAAATAATCTGTGAAAATAAGGTAATAGCCACGTAGTCACGTCATAGACAAATTGGTGGTTTTGTCGTAGTTTTGACGTATCTCGTAGGTACAGTTAGTATTAAATGTGAACAATCAAGCCATTTAGATACCTGTTTATTTTATATACATGTTGAAAATTATTTTGATTACAAGACTCGCATTCTGGTGCAGAGCTTACTATATAGCTACAAGTTGATTTCACAGTCTTTCTTAGTTACTCAAGTTTTGTTTTGCTTAGCCAGACAGAAGGTGAGCGTAACTCAAGTGTAGCCAACGACATTGCTTAGTGTATATGATATTACACTACTGTTGTAGGTCCACTGTTAGTTAATATGGCGGTAAAACGAATAGTGACGCAATGAATACCTTATCGTACGTGTTGATGTTTTTTATGACGTGACATAGACATCCATATCTCAAAAAAAGTTATAAATCAAATTCCCCAAGACTTTTCTTCGTGTTTATTTTGTTTATCACTGTTTGTAATTTTTAGTAAAAAATATAAAGAGATACTTTATGAATCGGCATGGATAATTAATCGGATATTTAAAAAAAAATTATAATATCGAGTGACGGGTCGTGCGCCTGATGGTAAGCTACACGCCTGTCCGTAACAGTTACATTGCCACTCAGGGCTTTAAATTGCAAAGATCTGAGGGGCACTGCCACTGCGCCCGTCACCATGAGACATAAGTCGATAAGTCCATGTACCTATAATTTTACCAAGACTCTTACTCTTCAAAGCCGCAACACATGTAATGCTGACAGTAAGGTATTCATTACTGCTTGGCGGCAGAACGAGTTAAGGTGGCAGTACTATCCTGGACGAACTCTTTTACATGGAGCTCTACTGCTACTAAATAAAAAAAAGAAAAAGATATTTATTCTCTATAATATCTTGATAATTTGAAACCCTCGTTACAAAGATCCATTACGTTTATGGTGTGTAAATTGAGCCTTTAGGTAGTCACCACACTTATTAAACTTAAACTGCCTCCGTAGCCGAACGGATACCATGCCGGACTGCCACGCAGAGGTCCCAGGTTCGATTCCCGGGCCGGGAGAAATAGTTGTATGGCCTACAATTATTTCTCTCGTGAGTTTGGGTGTAATTTGTGGTTGTCTATGTGTGTGTCCATGGCACCCGCGACACAGGGTTTCCCTAGTGCGGGGCTATGTTGAGTGTGTGCGTTATTATTTATTAACGCAGAATCGCATTAAGCTGATCAGAAAAAGCTTTTTAAGCTGGTTAGGCCCTAGTTATCATTCCCACCTTCAATTCCGGTTTTTATTCTCACTCTTTCACTGTTATGCCACACACGTTTCAGTATGTTGCCGCGCCTGGAACGCTTCCGCGGCCGCCTCTGTGTGGTCAGATCATTAAAGGGGCCATTCTTTATCCTGCATTGCCGTCCGCCGCGAAATGCAGGATTATGAATGTAGACATAGCATGCAAGCCATCCTGCAATACTGCAATGCGTGCCGCGAGATTCCTTACGTGGGCCATACACAGGATAGTGTGTGAGCAATTTCTTGCCTGCGCGGCGGACTGCCTTGCTGGTAGTGATTTTTTTTTTATTCAAATGTAAGTGTGAATTTGACCTCCATCTCACCTGATGGAAAGTGACGATGAGATCGACGCTGGAGCATGCACACCTAAATAATGCCTATTCACTCTCGTCTTCCAAAGGTCCAAGTTATAACGTTTACGGAACAAGTCTTCAAGCAGGGAATTCCACTCCATAGTCGTTCGCCATATAAATGTGGAATTGCTAACACTTCGTGAGAATCTTTGGAATATTCACAATATAGGGATGGAATCCACGCCTTACGCCTAGTCCCCCGATGATGGAAAGGCGGAATTAAATCGTGTAATTCGATCACACACTCTCCGTGGTATATCCTGGAAAAAACCGATAAGCAGGCAACCTTACGTCCAAAGACACTGCAAGTGCTTTGCCTTGCTTTTCTGTAGCTAGCTGCATTATAATGGGCCGTTTAACAGAGTTTCTTACAAAGTACCGTTGCGTAGTCAATCGCGATGTAAATAATTATTTTCACACATTGGGTCTTTACAGTATTTTACAAATAAATATTGTTTAACGCAATAAAAACCACAGAGGCGCGACACCGACTTGCACCAATGCCTAGCATTGATTATAAACCTTTCTGATGTGTGTTTGCGTACGATCTATGAGGCAATAGCCTTCAGCGTATATCACAATAGAAGCACTACTTTTGTTTTTGAAAATAGTAAACAGCATTATGTCCATTGTTTTTGAAAATATAAACAACATTATGTCCATTGTTTTTGGGATTGCGCATAAATTCCTTTTTTAATCAACTATTTATTATTTGTTCAAAGTAAGAACAACTGTGCTCAAAGCATTATTATCTGGAAAGCTACGTATTACAAGTGCACTGTCGTGCACGGCCGATGTTCGCGAGAACATATCGGCGCACTTTTGTGTGTGATTAACTGATTAGATAAAAAAATTTGGTCTGTCAGTAATGCTTTTTAACGTGTTGGTTTTTCTATAATTAGTTATTAAATATATCATTAATAATTAATTAGATAAAGATAAATTTGGTGTTGTGTTTTTTTATAAAAGTAATTTCAGATTTAACTGGAAAATAATTCGTGTGTTCGTAAAGTAATTATGGTGGCGGACAGTTTTTGCGGTGTCAAAACTAGGGTATTCCCTGATTATGGTGTAAAAAATTCAAGAGACACTACCGAGTACAGTCCAATTGGTTCGCGTTCACAGTGCTAACTTCGAAGCCACGGAAACCATTCAATATGAAATATTAAATTGTAAAAAAAAATATTTAAAATTTCAAATGGACTAAAAAAAATTGTTGTAATTATTGTTTTAGCTAAATTCTTTTCTTGGGTTTTTTCCGGGTTCTATCGCCGCAAGCGACACCTGTGAGAGATTTATGAAGCTTGTAACTGAGCCGATTCCTTGGCAGCTACCAGAGATTGACGTGAGATGTCGTATTAATTGTAACATTAATTTTATTGAATGTCATGATGTTTTAAAACGACGATATTAATAATATAATATGCTCTGAGCATAAAGATTCGAGTTTTATCACGTTTTCTTTGTGTTCGATCTTTGTAGCGAGATGGGTGGATGACATTGGTAAAGTTGCAGGCTGTAGATAGATGGGTGGATGGACTAGCTCAGGGTAGTGGTGAATGGCACAAACTACGGGAGGCCTATTATACTCAACGGTGGGTGAAGTCTGGCTATGAACGATGATGATAATTATGACCGCTAATCGCTATACATATTGGTACATCAGATGATTTTTGTAACTAATTTATTAATTTTACATCGACAAGTTGCAATTTATCAAAGCTGCTCTAATTTCTAGTAGCAATAAACAAATCAACTAGATAGCGGTTATTGCAAAGATTTTTATGGATAGAGCCTCAATTTTTATGCTAGATATAAGCTTGAAATAAAGAGCTTAGCAAAATATTTAAAAAAAAATTTTGTGACCTGCATTTTTTATTTATTTATTTAAAACAATAGTGTGGTAGATACATTGACCTATCAACAAATGGACGTCGGGTCTAATACAAAAACAACGAAAAAAATGTCCGAAGTTAACCTACCTGTATACAGACGTAGTGACATGTAACGAAAAAAAAAACATTTAATTTAAATTGTAACGTCATTGCAATACTGTCTAATTTTGCTTGCAACGATTGAAGGGCCCAAAAACACCATATTCAGCTTCTACTGGAAATTTAACAAAATGCACCATATGTAGCTTGGACTGAAAATTACTTGAACACAAGAGTAGTGGAGTAGCCTTTGTTGTAAATATTAATAAATTTTTATATATATTATTATGTGGAATTTTGTACAATTCACTTAAAGAAATAATAAAGAGTTGGGCAGATACATGCATACAAATATTCCTACAAATGTGAAAATAAGCGTGCACTGTAAGAAATGTACCGATATTCCAACTAAACGTAAACTCAAACATCTGTAATTCCGAAAACCGATTTATAATAAAACCGTTACACTTTCGAGTAATTTTGATGCTTTTCACGAAGACAAAATTAGCTTTCATTTTGTAATCTTACTAATAAATGCATTTGACATTATAAAAATTTGAGCTAACGTTATTTCGGGCAAATGTATTTTCTGACTTCTGATAGGTAATCCCAAGCCGTAAAACGAGTACCACAATATTTTGTTAGTTATTGCTAACACAACGCGTAACGCTTTTAACAAAAAATAATTTTAAAAATAAGATTAAAATCAAAGCGACTCTATAGTTTCTTTGTTCTAAATATTTCAATCACTTGTAGTTCGAACAATTGAAAATTACCAAGAAGTTTATATAAGCTTCTTGAAATTGACATAAGGGTCTCTTTCCATCTTTTGCACATACAATGTGTAGAAAAAGGACAGTTAGCTATTTAATTATTTTGTGTGCTTTTGTAATTTATATTTACGATTCATTTCTATATAAATTAAATACTATAAAACTATAGAAAATAACACTTTTAAATGAAAACTATGATAACACAATATATTTGTTTAGTGAAAATATGATACAAAATCCTGTTTGTACACTTTACTGCAGTAATTTTAACAAGTTATTATTATATGCATTGACTTACAAATAAAATATGTTAAGTTAATTCCAGCAACTATACGATTCTAAAAAAAGTCCAAAAAGCAGCAAGACTTAAACGCTAAAATATTCAAAATCCTAATTCTAATTGGCTAATTAAATTGCAACAAGAATGACTTTGACATCTGATGTCTCAGTATTTTTTATTGCATTGGCCACTGGCATATTTACCCAAAAAATTACATAAAAGTCCGATCCGTTTCGTGAACAATTTTCTGGAAATTGCAGGTCAAAAATAATTTGATTTTTAAACTTTCTAGATTTTGAGAGCTCTTAACAAAAAACCAACTAATAGTCTGGTTAAATTTTCCATTTATTTTACTACCACTAAAGGAACAACTCCTTTGTTTGTAACACACGACCATCGCCTTACTTTCTGTATCTAAAGCACGAAGGTACTGAAAAGCAAAAAATGGATTGTATATACAATTTTTGCAGGCTAATTTTATATCACATTGCCTTCATATTCACACATTAGCTTTTACCTATTCTTAAAGTATTCTATTCAAATTAACACGGTTGATAAGGAATTTAAAATAAATAGAAAGTTTTGCCATCTACTGAATAATACCTCTTTAAAAGATACGAGTTTGAGAAAGGAAGGCGACGCGATGCCATCATTGACACGCATGTTTGTCTAAGTTCAGAAAATAATTTAAGCGCATGATCACTATTTGAATGATAATTTACGAAGTATAAAACTGACTATTTGTATTTCATATTAAAGAGGAATTAATGATAACCACGGCCATTTATATAATATAAACTACTACCAGGCTATTAATCAGCGCCATCTTGATATAAGACGGCGTTTTGACCTTTTTCAGAGCTACGGCCTGAAGAGATTAGCAATCTTCTTGAGTCATTGCTCCATGGTACTATTTATAACAAACTAGTGGGAGTAATTTCACAAAAAAATAAATGAATATCATCATAGTAAAACATTATGATAATCAATATTACAATAAAATTGATACAGCGACATCTTACGTCAGTCTCTAATAGCTGCAAAGGTACCGACTGAGTGAGATTTATTTGCTTTTTTTTAGTTAAGCCATAATTCGGAGCTCTAAAAACTTATAATTATAACAAATACAAAATGGCGGGAGAAAAGCGACGGCGTCGCCGCAAAAGGCTCGCTTACTACATATCCAATATGTCCTTTATGATCATGCAATATCTGTTCAATTTATTCCAGGTAGTGTTCAATTGTTTAAAATTTTCTTGACCACAGATTAATATCCTTTAAAAAATATGGAAACCGGTAGTTATCATCACTTTTATATATCTTGAGAATTGTCAAATAAAGGCAATGACAGATACTGCTATTTTCCTAAAAATGTATCTCATTTGCCAGTTGTGGGCCAAGATAACTTAGTAGCAGTAGAGCTCCTCGTGAAAGTGTTCTTCCAGGGAAATACTGCGAGTTTCGTCCCGTTACTTTACATTATTAAAAAAAAAAACGTTACGGATGATTTGGACTCCTTTTTAAATGTGTCGCAAAATTGGCTCCTATGGAAAAACAGAGGGGAGGCCTTTGCCCAGCCGTGGGATAGAACGGGGTCATAATATAATATGTATTATAGAGTCTTATACAAATTAACATAGATTTTGTTTAAAATCCGGATTTTTTTAGCTCAAAATTAAAGTACTATTGGTAGGTGTTCTGCAAATCAATTCGTGTTTAGTAAGTGGTTTTATTGAAAAGTACATTACCGTTTTCCATTTCCAGGGGGCCGTCTATGTAGATACTTGCAATAATCTACATAAATAGATTTTTAGATTTATAAGTAAAAGAAGCTTTTAATTCGAGTAGTAATAGCGATATTGATCTATTGTCTTTTCTATTTTCAGGAGGCTAGGAGGGCCAAAGAGGAGACACGAGAGCGTTCCCGCAGGAAAGAGACTAGAAACGACCCGAGCGAGGGCAAGGTCGAGGCGTATTTGAGGCAAAATCAAGTCAGCATACGGCAGCAACAACATCGGCACTCTGCCGTAAGACAAGCGGAGCATAGAGTCAATCTTAGGTGAGTTTATTCTCTATTACAACGTTTAGATGGCGTTGATCTTAAACAACGCCATCTAGATTTTAAACGTAGCAACTCTGCTCCCCTACCGTATATTTTTAGCAAAATTGAGTTATATAGTTATGAGTTATACTATATCTGGACTTAGTGAAACGGATCTTCAACCCCCCTATAAGCGGTTTTTTTTTAATATTAGTTTATGTTTTGTTATTTAGTTCTATTATCAGCAAATTCAGGGTAATTGACATTTTTAAATTAAAAAAACTTTAGGCGCCAATATCATGAAAGTTACCAAAAATGCACATGCGTTCGTTATAACAAGGAGGGTAGATCTAATCAGAGGGCTTTTCACAGATACTCTATCGCGCGTGATACAATTTTTTTTAAGGTTGTTACGCGATATCTCCTGCATTTGTGCACCGATTTTGATGATTATTTTTTGTTGGAAAGAGGGTACCTCAGATGCAGTCCCATTTGAATTTGAAGAAAATATTCCACCCCTAATAGTGGCAAACTAGGGGATGAATGACTTTTGAGGTCGGTTTTTTTAGTACTCTCTACTGAGATTATGTAAATAACGACATCTTATCGCTAGATGAGGAATTACCGTTTGAAAGTAATGTTAAGGATTATGGCTGCGTTACTATGTTCCTGCGTTCTATATTATATTGCATTTTGCGCTGCCACGTGATGCATTTTCTTTTTAGTTTTTTGCCTTTTAAAGGAAAGCCTATGCTCATTTCAATGCATTGCTGCGTAGCAAAGCCCGGCTGTGGCAATGTGAGGCGACCCTTTGTGAAGCTATTAAGTACTTTAACATTTTGCAAACAAAACGTGGCCCGCCAAATGCTTGAAACTTCGAACCAAACCCTCCCGAGGAATGCGTGGGCTACGGAAGGGTCTACTACTTTGTCAAAACATAGATTTGATTCTAATCTACTTAACCACTATATCGATGATTAAGTTTTAACTGATAAAGAGTTTAAGACTTAACAGCTGTCAAGTGATTGCTTACACGTATGAATTAAGTTAAAATTTTGTTAATTAGTTTGTGGCTACGTCTAAATCAGCCATTATTTGAGGCCAAAAACAAGTTGTTTACGGCAACAAAAACATTGGTACCTTAGTATAATACAATAAGTATCTCTACTACATGCTAACGTAGCACCGCGGTTTTAATGTGTGTATGAACGCACATATTCGCATAATTTCACCATGCACTTACGTTGCATAATACTGGTCGTCCCAAAACACTGGTCGTATCAAAGCGCCTTTCATTATTATGTGTGCGTCCGTACATGGCGCGCAGCAGTTGCGCCCACAAACAAGCCGCGCCGTTGCTTTGTACGGAGTTACCATACTTCTCTTACTTTACTATGTTGGTACTGTGAAACTTAAAGTCCGTTAATTTGAGTAAGTTCTATATATGATACGATACGATACATGGCGCTATTTGTAGTAGATTGAAGCTATTATAATAAAAATAGGGTCATATTCATTTAAATTGTACATTTAACTAAACAGAAACGAAACGGAAAGTAACGAAAATAACGAAACAGAACATAAGCTTGAGCATAGTTGAGGAAATAAAACTAACTTAATTTAATAAAAAATAACCGATTATATTCTTTCCCTTTGACTCCACGACGACGACGTGGCGAGGAAATAATCATTGACAGTATAAGTCCACATAATGTAAGACATAAAAACAAATAATAATATTTAGTGAGTCTTTATTCGCAAAATAAGCTGATTCAACATAATTTAATTTTTTTTCTAGGCATAATAGAATAAAGTTGTCAAGGTTTTTATTTTCAGCCGATAATTTTGTTGTCTTAGCGTTCGTTCGTTTATGTCAAAATCAGAATACATCTTTTTAACTTTTGGTTTTCCAGCACTAGTTGAATATATGCAGGATTTCCATTTAAATTTATTATCTCTTGTAGGCTCACATTATTTTTACTTCTCATTTCGTAACTCCATTTCTGTCTTTGTATCTCTTTGTCTTTCTTTCATCTGATTTCCAAAGTAAGTAACTTTTAAGCATTTGTGTTATGGAAATCGAAAACAACGACAGTACGATAAACACCCAGCTCAGGGCTTAGACATGGGAAACCATGAAAACCAATGTACAAGCCACTCGACTACGGAGGTCGTGGATTATATAGCATTTGAACAGTAACAAATAAGTACATAATTTTTATGGTTAGAAAGAGCTCAATGTGATCACAGCCTTTTCCGTATCGTTGCGTAACGAAACGTTACTAAACCGACAATAAAAACCAAGAAAATATGACTTAGCTCTTAGAATAAACGCTCGCAAATGTGATCAAATGAAGCCTTACTACGTAATTTTAACTGTACTTTATAAAAACAAAGAAATATTTAAATAATTTGATAGGTTTCTTACGGTAATTACTGAAATTTCGTGACTAAACCGAAAATTAATTGTACCTGAAATTGAGGTGCGATAAAATTCACAGCTGACGTTTTAAATAGGCGTATGTCCATGATGCATTCGTTGATAGAACAATTATGCATACATTACTATTGATTATTATTTGTTTTTCATGAATCTGTATCGTTCGATTTGCGTAACGAAACAAAATGTTACGAAACGGAAAAAACTGTTACAATAGTTTAAAATGATTTTTTTAAACAATATTGTTTTAAAATTCTAATAACTATATTAATATTACAGTCATAATATGTCAACTCCATGAATTTCTCTGCTAACCAGCGGCTGTAATGATCCGTTGAGTTCAACACTCGAGTGATGTGACATTTAAAATTAAATAGAAAGTAAAATTGTTAAAATTTTAATTGTTCAAAAAACTATTATAATTTATTTAAATTCTAGAATAAATTATTGGTTTTTGATATAAAAATACCATCAGTATATAATTTTAACGGTATAAAATAATATTATTGTATTTAATTATATTTTTAACCACGAAAAAGGTATGTGACAAAAATTACCTGTAAATGTACATTTTAGATGAATATGACCCAATACCTTTTTTACATTTTAGATCTCTTCCATTAAACGACGTGCCGCCAACTCGCGGTGGGCATGAGCGAACACCAACCGAGCGTCACCGAGGTTTTCCCGAGCGCGAAAGAGATGTCCCCAGAGATCGGGATCACCGCCGCGAGAGAGAGAGGGACAGAGAAAATTTTGATTTTGATAGTAAGTTTATAAAATAGAAGTTTAGAGCCCATTTAAAAAGATTGACGCTTGTTTCTCGGCTATACAAAACAAAGACATAGTATTAAGTATAATTCTATCACAAAAATACAGCTTGACGAAATAATTTATTTTTGTGTTCGCTCCCACAAGTGGTGTAAAAGGAGATAAAGGAAAACATTTTCCTTTTTATTGACTGATTTAATTTGTGTGTTAATTTTTTTTTGTTTTGTAAACATTTCTATTACTTTTACACATTGGAATTTTTGTCTACTTTATACCCTGTGTCGCCACGCCTAAGGTTCAATCATAATGTAAATTACATATGCGACATTCTTTCTATCACAACAACCTTTAAATATAGTATCTTTCTTCATGTACACTTCTTCTAACTCCATTCTACTTCATAAGACTACTATAATTGTCCTAACAGGTCCTTGACCTCATATCGATCCTCCGGATCTGAACTAGTGGGATCCTCTGATCCCTATGATGGGCCTCCACACACACCCCTACAGCCCTTCCTCTGCCACCGCTTCATGCCCCATTGTACCTTCAGTACAAGTGGCGATCTCATTCTAATTCTGTTACTGATTCGTCATACTCTATCTTCTGGCTGTCTATTCAACAAATACTGTATCTACGTAAGTAATAAACATTGTGCAAACTTACCAACTGTAGTGCCGACCAACCAGTGCACTTCCAGCAGATGCCTGATATCTCACCTTCATAAAAGATGCCTGTACTGCCGTGTTAGTTCCCTACTCTTAGGTATCAGAACAGACTAAATTTATTAATGCTTGATATTACAAAACTTATACGAAATCGCGACATAATTCGCGACACCCTGTATAGAGAATGGACTATGAATGCAAATGGTATCAGTATACTTTTTAAGTGATGCGATGAATAGTCGTGTGCCGGGTGGTGAGCAACACGCCCGTCCATAACAATTGCAATGCCACTCAGTACTTTTAGTGTTAGGCCACTACCACTGCGCCCGTCGCAATAAGACATAAGTTGACAAGTCGCATGTACCTGTAATTTCACCAGCACCCTTACCCTTAAAAAACTGAACGCAGTAATGTGAGCATTACCTTTACTTACTTCCCTGGACGAACTCTTTCGTAAGTGCTCTTACGCCACGGTATCCCTAGGTACGACGCGGCATCCTTAAGAGGAAGCAGAGGAAAAAATCCTAATCTTCGATTTGATTTTAAAGGGGTATATCCACTTTAAAGTTAAAAATAAAATATTGTATGAGTAACTACACGATATATTCAAGCATAGACATTAATCAGAAACGTAAAACAATAAAGTTTCCACGGTAGATAAAAATCACGAAATGACCTCTAATTTTCACATTTTTTCGATTTATCCTCGAAATGCTACAGGTTATTAGGACAAAAATTAGATAATTAATTATATTTATGCATGATCGACAACTGTCACTACGGATTTTTTAAATCCCTTTAGTTTTAGAGTTATTCCGCTAAAACAATTTGGTACTTTTAATGCGCAAAATTCAACATCTCCTGTCGCATGTCACGCGAACTTCAGGCATATATTTGTTTCACAAATTTGGGCGGAGCCAACGTCAAAACTTTTTTGGCATGCTCCCTCTTAAGCATACGTAGGCATGCTGATGCATCTCGTCGCGGCATCATGCTCGCGTCTGGTCTTTCTTCAGACCAGTCTTGCCGCGCGTGCTACCTCCCCTCGCCCCGCATTGTCGCTCTCGGCCTTCCGAAGCAAACCCGAAGCCTGCCGAAGCATCTCTAAGGACGAGTTTATTCGACACGATACCGTCCAAATCAGATTCAAAATAATTTTTATTTCATAGGTAAGCATTATTACACTTGATATCGTCACATTGGTTAAACTCTACCGCTCATTCGTAAGGCAGATTCCCCTGAAAAGAATGAGCAAGAAACTCTAGTGGTTGCTCTTTGTAAACAACATTTGTACACATTCAACATTTACAATATGTATTTTATTGTTTTCAAACATCAGAGATTGAGGCTACCTCCATGGGCTAAACGGGTTACTACCACGGATTTTTGTCATCCAAGTACGCAGTAGTTGTATAATAACCTTTAGAATAAAGTTTTTGTTTTACAATAGTTTTAAACCTCGTGAAAGGCAAATTTTGTATATCAACCGGAATCTTGTTATAGAAGCGTACACATTGCCCCTAAATGAATTAAATTTGTCACTTTGTGAAGACGACTATTAAGAACAGCTAGTTTATTTTTATTCCTCGTGTTAATGTTATATCTGTCACTATTTTTCATAAAGAGATTTACTATTCCTCTTAACATAAATTACATTTTCATAGATGTACTGTGACGCTTGTGTAAGAATATTAATTTCCTTAAACGCCGCGCGGAGGCCGCGTTTCCACCGCGCAGCGACCACGTGCATCTAACAGTCATGGCAAAATGAGCTCTATTTGTTTAACTTTTACATTTCAACTTAAATGAGTCTGGCTTGTCTGTGGTCTACACGGTGCGGTTGTATCGTTCCGAGGAATTTGAAATTTGTTGCCCAGTAAATAGAATTCAGATTCGCCATTAATGTACATGAAAGCGTGGTAACTGGGCCTTCGCCGCGCGTGAGCCTCGCGAAATCTTTCGGGCGCTTAGGCTGCATTTCGGAGGCTGCCGGCTCGGCATCTCTTAGCATACTGCACCTTTATTTTGCCGCTATGATCATTATCGTTCATATTTTAACTATAATGTCATAATGTTAAGGTATGCAATTTGCACCCATATAATTCGCAGTCATACTTTAGACTATTTAAGTACATTCGTAATTTGCTTACATATAGAATCACGTATTTCTTTTTCAGCAACTCCACTTAGCCCAGTGGCTTCTCGTCATCAAGAATCCTCACGTCCTGTTCGCAAGTCCTCCTCAGCTCACAGAGTGTCCGAGACAGCAATATCAACCGACAAACGGCGTTTCTTCTGCCGAGAATGGGCATTCCAGAAGATTGCCCATTGCCTGGAACAACGACCGGTTAGCAAGACCTGTGGTGCGCTTATATTGGGTATGTTATTTACGGTTCTAATTATTATAGACATTTTTTGTAGCCAGGACTTTGATTTGAAACCGTAACTGGATAAGCCTTGTTTTTTATTATGTCGATCTTTATGAAGGAGAAGTTTTCGCGGTCGCTAGAGTTAACTGATATTGTAATCTCTTGGTAAAGGCGCTAAGAAATGTCCTTTAGGACGTTATTATGTTAATTTAATATAAACCAAGTTTGTTATAATTATTATTAATACAAAGATCGAACATTTACAAAGAAAATTCTTCGATCCGGCCGGATTCGAACCGACGCCTTCTAGCAAATCGTGACAGACGCGCTGTGCTAACTAAGCCACGGAACGAACTAGCGGACCTCACGATTTTTTCTGTGTTTGCAGTCGGATCTTTGTTTTTGGTTTTTAACGACTTTTTTTGCGACATTTTTTGTAAGTGCTCGATGTTTGTATTAATAACTATAACAAAACTAATGGAGTCATTTGACAAAAAATAATTGAATATCATGACGATGAAACATGCTGACATTCAATAAAAACTTAATAAACAAATTTGTTATATTATTATATACGGATCTCTGTTAGGCATGCATGTGGAGGGATATAAGGGGAAAGGAAGGCCAAAGAAAAGATGGATGGATTGTGTGAAAGATGACATGGATAAGAAAGGTGTGAGTATAAAAATGACGGCTGATAGAGGAGAGTGGAAGAAAAATACATGTTGTGCCGACCCCACCTAGCGTGAGATATGACAAGAAGGAAGACAGTCAAATAATCATTTATTCCATAGGTAAAATTTTTACGCTTGAAAACGTCATTTATTAAGCTACTGCTCGTACAATACGCAGACCTCGCTGAGAAGCACGAGCAAGAAATTCTAGGAATGGCTCTTTTCAAATAAACTTAAATGCTATAGAATACATTTTGAATCATATTTGTGTGGAATCTAGACCCTTGTTGTCTTTCCATACATCTTTATCTAACACGTAGTCTACAATTTTGTAATATGACTTTTCAGAAGAAGAAGAAGATGGATCTCTGGAAGATAGTTGATAAAATCATGACTTTTTTAATATATAATGTTTATTTAATTGAATATCAAGTTTTTATTACCATGATAGTCATATTATTTATGTTATTATTAATAAAAAGGTCGAACTAACAATTAGAAAATTTTTTCGATCCGGCTGGATTCGAACCAGTGGGCCTGCTCTCGTTTTCTGTCCGACATCCGTCCTAAACAATTACTGAATACTCAATCAAATTAAAATACAATGTTAAGAATGAAGCTTTATTCGCGTCATGCATCTGCTTCGGACGGATGTTGGGCGGAGAAAGTGAGTACAGGGCCAGCACCTGTTTGACAGACAGAACGGGGTTAACCGCTCTCCCAACTGAGCTACGGAACGAATCAGCACACCTCACGCATTTCACTATGTGCTTGTTGCCGATCTTTGTTTTTTTTATTTAAACGCCATCTGTTAGAAACCTTTGAAGTTTTTCTTCTTTTTTTTAAAGTATATTTTACTTACAGGCGACGCCGGCAGCGGCAAAACGGCACTCTGCCAAGAACTCAGTCAACCAGGGCAAGGCCCGCAAGCAAGACAGCAGCGAGCGTTGAACCGAAGATTGTTGGCTCGGCATTTTCTGCAGGTGACAATGTTACATAAATGCCACTTCCACGAGGACATAGTTATGCAAACTAGAACCAACCCCCAAAATATCACTTTCGAGATAATTAGATTTTTGTAAAAACAGTGTGAAGAAATAAATATATAAGTTATTTGAGACAAACAACGTGAGTTATATGTAGCATTGAGAATGATATAGGGAAACTATTATATTATATAGCAGTAAATAGAAAACATTATGTATCTTTTTATTTAGTTAATGAGAACCATGTTCTAGTTTTCGTAATGAAAACGTCTACAGTACTTCAGTACATGTGACATGGATACATTTAGCATATTTAAAAAAATACATTATATGACGTTAAGCAACATGGTTCTGTTTAGCTATTAAAAAAAGTTACTTATTTAGGGTTGGTACCCTGAAGGATTTTTATTTTCTCCGTTTTGGCTTGGCATATTGCCAAAATCTTTTGTGAGCGGGTAAAGGACACGTCTAGTGTTCTACCTAAATACATAACTCAATTCACTCGAAGTGTGTGTTGGTTCTTGTTTGCATAACCATGTCCACGTTACAATTGGGTTGGATGAGACTGCCATAGTGGCCTAACGGTTTGATCTACCGCCTCCCAAGCAGAGGGTCCAGTGTTGCCAGGTTTTACATTTCTTACATTTTTCGTAACTTTTGACACTCGCGCGTAATATGGAAGTAACTTTTCTTTTTAAGGCAATTTTTGTAAAGGACGTTGAGATTTTTTAAATTCAAGTATACTTCGTCGGTGTTTTGTAGAAAGAGCGAAAACGCTATTTCGGAAATTTTTTAAGGGAGCTTTAGGTTTTGAAATATTTATGTCCTGTTTTAAAATACAACTTTGGTTTTTTAAAGCTGTATTAGAGTTCATCTATGCAGCCATTATAAAAAGGCATGCAAAATTTAATCTTCTAAGTAGTCATTACATTACATTTACACTGTAATATCATTGTTTAACTAGGTATTTATACAGTTCAGTTGTCATGCTTTGAAATGTCAGTTTTTTATTTCAATTGGTAGTCTATTAGAAATTTTCATGCACATGTAATATGAACTTTTTAAGTAAAATGTCAGTTTTCTGTACATTTGCAACGACAAGTCTGCCTGGGTTTCTTTTTATGCGTGGATAAATTTCTATTGATTTTTTAAACAATTTTAGGTGCTGTTTGACAAATTTACAAACTTCATAAATAAACATGGAAGGTAAAGTCAAAATATTTAAATTCTCAAACAGCTGCTTGCAAGATTCCCATGGGCGAATTCCTGTCATTGGTCGTATACATTTTAGCAGCACTATAGATCCTTGTGAAAGAGTTCGTCCAGGGAAGTACTGCCACCTAACGTATTTCTGTCGCCAAGCGTAATGTTAGATTACTGCGTTCCGGTTTAGAAGGGTAAGGGTGCTGTTGAAATTACAGGCACATGGGACTTCTCAACATACGTCTCAAGATGACGGGCGCAGTGGCAGTGCCCCTCAGGTCTTTGGATTTAAAGCTCTGAGGGACACTGCAACTGTTATGGACAGGCACGTAGCTTATCATTAGGCGCACGATTTGTTCGTACCGTCATTTGGTATTTTATTTTTTTTTAATTATAAATGCGCGTTCAACATAAGTTCCACGTTCTTGTGAGTACAAATATACAATATAATTTATAAGTAATATATATTTAAGGAAATTGAATCTCCACAGAGCCAAAATGAGAGCAGTCTCCGCTGTGGAGAGTTCATCCGGTCTCTCGCGATGCAGATCTTGAGCCACTCGTCGAAACGCAATCCAAACAAGAACGATAGCTCCAACGCAGATAGAGATCCTTCACCTGGACTCTCCCAAAGTTCGCCGGGTAATAGGTGAGGTTTCTGAAGTGTTTTAATTAGTTAAGCGGATTTTGGGGTGAGGTCACCTGCAGTTTGACCTCGAAGGACATCTTCATAGAGGTAGGGATAGAGTACTACCTACGTCGAGTATATAACAAGAAATAGAGACGAAATGACATTCAATTTGTTTGATAACTATTCTGCCATAACCACCACAGTGACAACTGCACTACGATTGGCCAGCCCGAATAAGAAACAATTGACGGGTGTGAAACTTGAGCTTTGCTATAATGGACAATAATTGCAAAATTACATATTTAATATTTAATTACCGATGAAATGTGATTCCGTTTGTTTTGTAATTGGATGTTTTGCTGTTTTTCCCATACCACTTATTATACAAGGTGTCCAGAAAGAGTATCGGGTATTTGTTTTCGCGCCATATTCGAAACGGGGCGTCTAAAGGGTGCGGGGAGGGGTTCGTGGGGTCCGCCATTTTGTGGAGTTTTAGTCACGATGGAACAGTACTCGGGGACGCATCGCGCATTTTGCGTACGAGCGTATTATCGTAATGGTGATTCAATAGTGACTGCTCAACGTCTCTATCGTGCGGAATATCGTACACGCCACGCGCCAAGTGACGCATGACGATAGCATTAGGAAATGGATCAGGATGTTCGAGAATACAGGTGCGACAGTTAAAATTCAAAACTCTGGTCGTCCTCGTTCAGTTCGCGAAACAATTGATGAAGTTGAGGCGTCGGTTCGTCAAAATCCGTCTTTATCCATCCGAAAGCGAAGCCAAGCGTTGAACATCAAAAAATCGTCTTTACATTGGATTTTAAAGAAAGACTTACATCTAAAAGCCTATAAAATTCAATTGGTTCAAGTATTTAAGGATACGGACTATGCTAATCGACTGAATTTTGCGAATGAAATGCTGCAGCGATTTAACAACTTTAACAACATACTGTTCAGTGACGAAGCAAATTTTCACCTGAATGGTCATGTCAGAATTGTCGGTACTGGGCAGTGGAGAATCCGAGACGAAAGCATGAACGACCCCTGCATAGCCCAAAGATCGTTGTTTGGGCAGCTATGTCTGCTAAAGGCATAATTGGTCCTTATTTTCATGAAGATCAACGAGGCCGAGCAATTAATGTGAATAGTGACCGTTATTGCGATATGTTGCGAATTTTTTTGGTCCCAGAGTTGCAGGAGTTTGCAGGTTTTAACTTAAGAACGTGGTTCCAGCAAGATGGGGCCACTTGCCATACCTCAAATGACTCAATGGAAGTTGTTAACGAATTATTCCCTAATAAAGTCATTTCGCGAAGGGGTAACATCAACTGGCCTCCCAGAAGCCCCGACCTTAGCCCGCTTGACTATTTTGCATGGGGATACCTTAAAAGTAAGGTTTATCAAAACAATGCGACGAATCTAACCCAGTTAAAGCAAAACATCAGGTCAGAAATGGCAGCAATATCGATAGCTATGTGTCAACGTGTTATCGCCAATCTTCGTTTCCGTTTAGAAGAGTGCCAGCAACGTAACGGTCATCATTTGGATAACATCATCTTTTCCAAATAATTCTCCAATTCATATGCTAATAATAAACAATAAACTTTTTTATTACATACAAATAAATTTTGTTTCATTGAACTTACAAATACCCGATACCCTTTCTGGACACCTTGTATATATTATCATTATTACAATAAATATAGAATATTTTTTTAAATATACTAAGACATTCATACAGGTGAGTTGTTGGCGCTGTACTATTTCAGCTTTCTAATTTGTGATTTCAGCGCAAACGAGAGTTGATATTTAAAAGTGATATAAGGCCCATTTGCCTGATGAGTTGCCAAGAATGGATGGTCCTTATTTAATAATAATAAATTTATTTGCCATAATAATAATGTAGCATGCATAGTGTACGGTAACTAAGTGTCGTATTCTAGAACTCTACTCAATGCTCAAGTCAGGACTTGAGTATTGCAGTGAGCACTGAAAATCATACTCAAGTCCTTGCCATTAGGGTCGTATTTCCAGTGCCTGAAATCATACTCAAGTCTGCTCAAATCCTGACTTGAGCATTGAGTAGAGTTCTAGAATACGACCCTAAGTGTCAAAGAATCAGTAGATATGACCGCTGGTACTTAAAAAAGGAAAACCTGTGCTATAAGTGCTAGCAAACCCTCCAATGGCGTAGTAAAATTTACAATTTATTACGTTATTTTATTTATACATTATGCAAAAATAATGACAAGAACAGGTAGTAATTTGTGGAAACAGCAAATGAGTAAAATTAAATTAAAATAAATTATATAATCTTTATAAATAATTCTCTCACTGAAAGTGTGTATGTGTATGAGGGTGTGTGAGTGTGTGTGTGTATTGCGCGTGGGTGTGTAACTTGCGTATGTGTTGGAAAAAGAATCCGTATTTGATGTGAAAACACTGCATTGAGCAGCATGAAGAATATTTTCTGTTTCTTCATATGACAGTTTTAGAAGCCATTTGGTTATAATGTTTCGTCTCTATTTCTGATTATATGCTCGATGATTACCCACTAGTAAGAATATAAATATATTCTATGTAAGAAAAAATATCAATGTATTTAAATATGGCAATAGAGCTGGGCGCAATAAACAGCTACAAACTCCGAAAAGCCGATAAGTGAACTTTTGATATTGGTTTTTTTAATAATTTTATATGAGCACAGGTAATAGGATGGTGATGATATTTTTATATTTGTCATTTCCCTTTTTGCTATGAATTCATTGATCCTATGATAACTTGATAAATAAAGGATATTAATTTGAATTGTTACTATTTTGTTTCAGACGGAACTCTGACGAGGAAAAACTCATCGATAGATTCAAAGATCTTGGCGATGACGGCGAAGAGAGTTCCAAGCCGCTCCTTGCCGATAGTGAAGGTCTGGCTCTATCTCTAATTTAAAGTTGTTTTTTCACACATGGGCTTCAAATTTCACCTTATCTATATCTGCCGCCAAGCAGTAATGTGAGCATTACTGCGTTCCGGTTTTGAAGAGTAAAGGTGCTGGTGAAATTGCAGGCACATGGGACTCGTCTGCTTATGTATCAAGGTGACAGGCATAGTCACAGTGTCCCTCATATCTTTGTGATTTAAAGCTCTGAGTGGGTCTGACCACGTTTTAGTTCGCCCTGGCACAGTGGAACTGTACTTATTCTGTCAATTTCTACACCACCTGCGCTTGCACTAATCAATATCTCCAACGAACACTACGCCAACTTAATTTTTGGACCGGTTCTGTTTTTATTTTGTTTTCTTATTTTTTTTCACAAAATTCGAGGAGCATAATATTAGTAAATAAATATGGCTGTTTACAAAAGTAACAGACAGTTGTAGTGTTAATTGGCGGTATCGAAATGAAACAAGAGAATTACCATGTATGACGTGTGCTAATGTGACGTGGTGGTGTGGTCGCGCAGACCAGCGCTCGGACGAGGAGGAGGGCGGTGGGGGCGGCGGGGGCGGCAGTGGCGGCGCGCGGCGCACGCGCACCATCGACCGCATCCACGAGCGGGACGCCTACCTCGACTCGCTCATCGACGACGCCGCACTCAGCGCCGTCGACGACGTAAGCTTGCCCTCGCTACTTTCCGTACATCATCTCTATCTATTTACTTAAAAGAAACTATCGGTAAATAAGTTGATCGACTTAATCCGGTCAGAAAAAGTCCGTTATGTTCATGCAATAAAAGCATCGACGCGCCACCTGTTTTATATTGCCTTATTTCAATATACACTGTTGTCATTGTTTTATTAATATATACAATTCCGAATATTCCAATCATTAATTCACTCATGTTGCGTATTTCAACTTTTAAGAGCCTATACAACCTCAACTGGCTTTGGTTAATTCCGTATAACAATGAAAGTGTTCAATCACCCACTATGGGATAGTAGAGACGAAATGTCATTTAATTTGTTTGAAAACTATTCTGTCAAATCATTACGGTGACAACTGCGCTCCGATTGACCAGCTTGAGTTCGAAACAATTGACGGGTGTCGTCAATGTGTGTTGTGAACTTAACCTTTGCTATAATGGACGAAAATTGCAAAATTACATATTTAATACTTAATTACCGATGAAATGTGATTCCGTTTGTTTTGGAATTAGATGTTTTGCTGTTCACACTACAATATACGGAGACATACACACAGGTCAGTAGTTGGCTTGTCTATATTTCAGTGCAAACGGGAGTTGATATTTATAAGAGCTGTATCGCTAATGTGTTACCAGGAATATATGGCCCTTATTTCGTCTCTATTTCTGGTTATATACTCGATGCACGTACCAATGATTTTTTGTATACATCAACTGAACTAAATAGAACACGCACACTATTATACGATATACATTTTTCAAATGGTTTAATTCCCTTTGTAAAAAAAATCTGAAGTAAAGCCAGTGTCCCTGCCGATCGACCAAAGCAAAATTAACCGTATTAGTAAGGGAAAAATTTGAATTTCCATCTGCCTCAACTGGAATTTCAAATTTGGCTGGCTTTGGCTGGTATCGACTCTTAACGTCTAATAAACTTCAAATTGTTTTTGTACGAATAGAAGTCTTATGAAAAGTCGAATTTATCGATAAAGAAATAAAGTTAACCGACTTCAAAAAAGGAAGAGGTTCTCGACTTGACGGTATGTTTGTTGTATGTATGGAACTCCGGTTTGTGAACCGATTTTGATGATTCTTTTTTTGTTGGAAAGAGGGTACCTCAGATGTGGTCCCATTTCAATTTGAAGAAAATATTCCACCTCTCAGGGTGGCAAACTAGGGGATGAATGACTTTTGAGGTGGCTTTTTTTAGTCCTCTGTACTGAGATTATTTAAACTTTCAAAAGATTTGTTGATAATTAAATTAAAAAATAACACAGATTTTATTTCCGCAGCTACCAGAAATCCTACCTCGAGCATCAAAACCAACAGCGACCAACCCGTTCCTATCTGAAGACCAAAAAGACGACCTTCGTTTGTACGAAAATCACGAGAACGTGTTCCTAAGGAACATATCTCAGCGACAATCGAAGGAACTTCGGAACTCGCGACTTGTACGACAGAGTTCTGAACCCTTGACCGACAAGAAACCCTCACTGTTACAGAAGAGTCTTTCCACTGACCAGGTAATTATATCATTGTGTCATTATTGTTACAATTTAACCTAATCAAGTTTTTGAATATTTTAGAAAATGAAATAGAAATGAACTTAAACGAAAAGAGTTTATTTGCAAGCGTTAGTTTATTTAACGTTTACATGTTGCTGGTTTTTGAACTTGTTTTATTATCGCAATGTGTGTTTTATCATCATCATATCAGCCGGAAGATGTTCACTATTGAACATGAGCCTCCCCCAAAGATTTCCAGACCAGCCGATCGGACGCGACATGCATCCATCGATTTCTCGCCGCCCTTACCAGGTCATCTGTCCATCTAGTAGAGGGCCGTCCCACTGAACGCCTTCCGGTTTGTGGTCTCCATTCAAGAACCTTTCTGCCCCAATGGCCGTCAGTTCTACGAGCTATGTGCTCTACCCACTGCCAATTCAACTTGCTTATCCTTCGAGCTATGTTGGTGACTTTCGTTCTTCTACGTATCTCCTCATTTCTGATTCGATCACGTAGAGAAATGCCGAGCAATGTTGCTGATAATTATTTAAACATGTCTACTACAGTTTTATTTTAAATCAATTTAAAACAATCACAATATTTTATTTTATTATTCTGCTAAAATCTTCACTTCAAGGTTATATCTAGAAAAAAGTTGAGACTGGTTAAATTTTTCTGGGTATAAAGTACCAAGTTCCATACTAATTTGGTACAAGTCTCTTGTTTTATCATGGAAATCGCATTACAAGGTTACCTTGATGTGATGCTGCAACCAGACTGTAGACTACCCAACCCCTCCACTACTTATACCTGAAGTAACGTGTTTGGGGTCATTAAATTGGTCTTTTTTATATAATATCAAGTGACGGGACGGACAAGTCGTGCGCCTGATGGTAAGCTACACGCCTATCCATAACAGTTGCAATGCCACTCACAAAACGCAAAGATCTGAGGGGCACTGCCACTGCGCCCGTAAACCCGAGACGTAAGTTGACCAGTCCCATGTGCCTATAATTTCACCAATGACTGATGTCTCGATGAGTCGTTAGCTTACAGATCTTCTTCCTGTCCTTATCCCACGCTAGGTGGGGTCGGCACAGCATTTGTTTTCCTTCCACTCTTCTCTATCAGCCGTCATTTCCATGGTCACACATTTCTTATCCATGATATTTTTCACGCAATTTTCTTTTTCAATTTCCTTTTATATCCCTCCACATTCAACTCAACACTCCTCTCGTCACATGACGTCCTTCCCTTCGCATGACATGTCCGTACCACGCTAACCTATTACTCCTCATCTTTTCCGTCCCTGGCGCCACTTTCACACTTCCCCTGATGTACTCATTCCTTATCCTTTCTCGTCACTCCACACATCCATCTCAACATTCCCATTTCCGCTGCATGCACAGTTCGTTCATTCTGCCTTTTTATCGCCCAACTGCCCAACATTCTGATCCACACAGTACGACAGGTTACAGATGGAGTACACTATTTTGTATTGGGAGTTTTTGAGTTTTAATTTAAGGGTACATTCCAAAACAAAACATAACATCCGATACTGTTCTTGCAGTTCTCTTTAAAACTTCTTTTAAATTTTGGAGGGAGGGAGAGATAAACGTAGTATTTGTAGTAGTATGCTGTCGTAACTTGACAAATAATCGGTAGAAATATATTTAAATGACAACATTGTTAAGAGTTTGATGAATATTAGTACAAATAGTGAAGTAAACGACAAAATTGTAAAATTTTGTCAGATTATAAGCAGAAATGATAACTTAAAGCTTTGGCAAACAATTAGTAGAAACAGGGGTTTAAATAGTAACTAAACCTGAAAGACTGAATCTGTTTGTCGAATGACTGTCTTTCGCATTACTCAATTAGCCGGCAGAATTTCTAAATGCGACCTTTAGTCAAAGTAACGAGTCTTATATGCGCTATGGAATTACCCTTAAGGGTTTTCTTTTGACATTTAATGTATAATTTCAGGACACAAAAGAAGACAGGAAAGTCGAAAACAGTCCACCAAAATCTCGTATACCAGTGGCCAATTTCAAATATCCCAACAAAAGCGATTTGAAACTTCCCAGCACTGAAAACAGCCCTCACAAGACGAATCCCAACAACGCGAACCATAATAAAACCGATACCGACGATTCGGAGAAACTAGAAAACTCAGAAAAGCAAGAAAATGCAGACAACCACGACGCAGAACTACCAGAATACCAAAACGTTTTAAAACCAAATTCAACAGAGCCATTAGATGTGTCCAATCCGAATGTAGAGCTGGAAAAACTTTTAGAAAAGAAGCGGTCCCAGAATGACGATGTGCCTCCGCCTATTCCTTCTTTGCCAGTGTCGCCTAGAACTTTGATAGCGAACGCATATTACGACAAGTTGTTATCAGAGCCAGAAATACAACAGGCGTTGTTGCCCCAGAATTTGGAGAAAAACCCAGATGAATGTTTCAAAAAGGCTTTGCTGTTTCCTCTATTGGAAATTGACCCGCCGAAACAGTGTTTATTCTTGCTGGTGGATGCTATTGACGAAGGAAATTTTAACGGTGAGTTTATGTGTCACTTGTAATTTGATTTTTTTTTTGAACATTTACAATTTTTAGTTTGACAAAATTTTTTTAGGTGTTTAACTAAATGTAAACAATCTTGATCATCTCATCAAACATCTTTTTATTGACACATATGTTTTACAAATCAACAGGTATAAAAATAGGCATGCAATTTCGTATGAAGCTAAGTATTTGTATTTTGTATTGGAAGGTAAGCGAAAATAATTTTATAAATGTATATTTCATTCCACTGTCTGGAACCCAGGTTATCAGGTTAATTCAGATAGAATTGAACGTATTCAAAAACATTTTCTATATTATTTAACTTATAATAATTAATTAATTCTTACTTTAAAATGTCCTCACTCCAAAGACGCCGAAAAGTACTTGATCTGATGTTCTTATACTAAGTTATTCACGGTGTAATAGACGCATCTGACGTCCTCAAATGTCTGTGCCTATCCGTCCTTCGTCCCGGTAGCCACCTACATAATCGTAAAACTTTTTCACTTCCGACTTGTAAAACCAACCTCGGTCAACACTGCCCACTGTATCGCATGTGGTCATACAATGCTGGTTCTGTGGCCTCAGCTAGGAACTCAATTAAAAACTGTCTAACTTTGCGATAGATTTTGTTTTATTTATTGTCTTCTCAGGTATTAATTAAATGCAAATTTTTTATTACTGTCATTTATGCACTTTTTGTTAATGAAGTTTGATTATTGTGTTCACATCAAGTAGGGTACATTCTTTTGATATCATTATGTGTATCAAACGCTTTCACCTTATTTTAGAATTGTATCCAGTTTTGTGAACCGAATAAAAAAATAGACATCTCAAGATTGTTTACATTTAGTTAAGTACTTAAACAAATGGACTATAAAGTCGGATTTATAACCATTGTCACAAATGCTATATGATAGTTTATCTTATTTTTTATTGATATGCATGAGTTCAATACGTTTGGTAGAGGTAACAGTTGTATGTATGTATGAGCATTTAGAGCATTCTCTAATTGTGTTTTAAATTTATCCTGTCGCCCACAGGTTGTGTTGTGATCTCAACAGAATTTTTCTAATTTAATGTAATTTTCGAAGCAGTAACTAAACACTCTAGACCGGGGATTCTATTTTGCACCAATCATCGAGTATTTAACCAGAAATAGATACGAAATAAGGGCCATCCATCCCTGGCAACCCTTTAGGTAAATGGGCCTTATATCTCAGTATATTCCAAAAATATTCTGTGTTTACTGTAATAAAGACAATATCTCTAACAATGGGGAGATGTTTCATTCGGTGGTGTGGGAAACAGCAAAACGTCTAATTACAAAACAAACGGAATCACAGTTCATCGGTAATTAAATATTAAATATGGAATTTTTAAATTTTCGTCCATTGTAGCAAAGCTCAAGTTAATTGGTCGTTTTGAAGTGAAACAATTGACGACACCCGTCAATTGTTTCGAATTCGGGCTGGCCAATCGGAGCGCAGTTGTCACCGTAATGATTTGAAAACTATTTCAAACAAATTAAATTAAAATACATTTCGTCTCTGAGCTCGTCGAGATTCTCTACATCTTCTACATCTGCCATTAAGGCCGTGTGTTGTTCCCTGTTTTTCGTTTTTAATCTTGTGTGCAACAGAAAGTATTTGTATTGTATTCAATATTATGAATGACATTTTGTTTCTGTGGCAAATGATATTAAACAAATAACGTTTCAGGCCAACTGGATTCAAGCGATGAGGCCGCGAGTAGTGTCGCAGCGCTGTTGTCGCGCCACCAGCATTTATTCCCGCAATGGCTGCTGCTCGTTTGCACTGCACGAAAACACTCGAAGAATCTCACTAAGATGTTTACGGGTGAGAAAGAGATTATTTATCTACGCGTTAGCCAATCTTTTCTGGTTAAGAATCTTTCGGAAATAAAAGGAAAAAATGCGCTCATCAATTTCCACTACATTGCATACGGTGCTTACGTATGAGAAGCTACTTAGAAGCATGTGTCACTTTGGTGTATTAAAAACATATTAAAAATTTAATGTAATACAATATTTTTTATATATTTTTACTTTAATTATTAAGGACACTCCAATTACAATAATTAAAAAAACATTATTAACAACTTAAAAGTAGTTTACGTGACTGTTACATAATGAAAGGCATTAAAATAGGAGTGTGCGTTTATGAAACGACCCGACAGGCGAGTGTTTTAATGCCTGATTATGTACAGTTACATACACTGCTTTATCTACACACATATTATAAGTTATCTGGGATGTGTTCAGGAACCGCATGTTACGACTGGCGAAATGGCGGCAAATAAAAACTTTTATCACGCATGTCACACAACCGTAGTTCTTTTTTTTTTTTTGTTTATTAAGGCTTTGGCAAAGCCATCAGCCTAAACATGAAGTTTAATTGTTTCTGTAAATATGGCTGCCACAAAGAGGATAGGCAATTTGAGGCGGCGTGCTTGGATTGACTCGGGATTCCTTAAAACGGGCCGATACGGGTATTTTAGTTCGAGATTCGTATAATTTCGCGTTTTAATCTTCGATTAAGGCACAATAGCACTATCCTATTCCACTTTAAACAAGATTTCACAAAATAATTGAAAGTCAAAATAAAAACGACACTTTTCCCTCCAAAATGGCCAGAGCGAATCACCGCAGTTCTTATTTTTAATTCATAGACAAACTAGAATCGGCTCCAACTATCATATCGTTCGATATCAAGTAAACGTGTGTCATTGTCATTGTCATCAAATTGTCAAAATTGTTTACTATTGACATTTCATTTCGAATAAAACTTCATCTCGACTGATATTACAATTGAGGTCCAATCAAATTGTTTTGTTTTTCAGAGATGTTCGAAATTTGAATGTAATAATACATCGAATTGGATGTTTATTTATTTATTTATTTATTTATTTATTTATTTATTTAGTTCATACAATTACACAGTATTACAGTATATTACTAAGGCACTGTGAAATTCAATAAATCATATAATAATAACATCACAACACAGAAGACGGACGTTCATCCATTCTCTCACAAAACCTCAAGCATTCATCACACACAGTCACCCATCTACTCGCAAACATGTCGCAGTCTGGTACTGATAAGAGAAGTGCATTGAGATAGTGCAGAGCGCGAACAAGCGGTGATTTACCACGAGCCACAGTTCGCACCGCTGGCAATGCCAGCAGGTGATGACTACGTGGCCGCAAGTTAAATTTATTCAGCGGTGGGACGATCAAGCGTACCAGCTGCGCAACTAATTCTGGGCAATCAGAATCTCCTCGCAAGACCCTGCCAGCCGTAGTCATTAGACCATAATTTCGTCTTAGCTCTAAGGAATTAAACCCCAAGACGCCAAGGAGGAATTTCGTAGGGTATAAAAATGGGTAGTACCCATAAATTTTCTTATATAAAAATCTCAAAAACGTTTTTTGGATTTTCTCCAGAAGCAGGGAGTAGGTAGTTTCATGAGGGTTCCAAATTACTGAAGCCGCTTCAATTTTGCTCCTGACTAGCGCGGTGTAAATAAGTTTGATAGCTCTAGGGTTATCAAAATCGCGAGCGTTCCGGATAACGAACCCCAGCCTCCGATAGCAATTGGCAGTTAGGATTTTAATGTGCTCATGAAAATTCAAATTTTTATCAAAAACGACGCCTAAGTCCTTAATAGACTCGACACGTGTAATGAGCTCAGAACCCAACATGTATTTGGCATGAAAAGGATTATGGGCACGGCCAAATGTCATGACTGAGCACTTTTCAGAGTTGAACAGAAGCCCGTTGTCGATACTCCACTGATAGATCCGGTTGATGTCCTCCTGAAGCGATTCACAATCCGAAGACGGCTGAATACCGTAAATCAATTTGAGATCATCTGCATAGAGAAGACATCTAGTGCATTTAGGTACTGAGGCCAGGTCGTTAATCATTATGCCAAAAAGTAACGGGCCTAAAATAGAACCCTGGCTGACTCCAGAACGGGTGTGAAAAGTATTCGAAACAAAGCATCCGTACTGTACATACTGCTGTCTGTCACGTAGATAGTTAGCAAAGAACTTAAGTAGCTTGGGTGAGAAACCTATTCTACACAACTTCCTTAAAAGCACATCGTTGTCCACACGGTCGAAAGCTTTTCGAAAGTCAAAGTACAGCACGTCTACCTGTATTCCCTTATCCAAGTGTTCCGAAATGGAATCAACCAGAGTCAACAGGTTCGTGTCGACAGATCGTCTCGGCCTGAAACCATGTTGTGAGTCACTGAGAAAGGGTTTTATTTGAGTAGCTACGAGTCTATTCACAATGGATTCAAATAGCTTGGCGATAGACGAGAGAATGGCTATTGGTCGGTAGTTTTCAATTCTAGTTGAATCATTCGACTTGGGAATAGGACGTACCCTTGTAACCTTCCACTGATGGGGGTATTGCCCAGTATACAAAATTAAATTAAAAATATGATGTATAGGCGATTTTAGCCAATCTTTACATCCCCTTAATATAAATGCAGGAAAACCATCCGGACCTGGGGAGCTATGGGGCTTTAAATGAGATATACCAGATTCTATATCTTGAAGTGATATTTCATCAATGTGAACATAATTTGCAGAACTGGACATGTCTTCGCTAATAATCGTTTCGTGGTCAAGGAGAGGTTTGCGGGATAGAAACACACTTGAGAAAAAATTCGAGAAGGCCTGAGCAGCCTCACCACCTTCATACTCTCTCCCTTCGTACGAAACCCTACTCTCGAAGCCACCTTTGGATTTTAAACTGCTCATATGTTGCCAGAAGGAACGTGGATCGCAAGTTATCCTTGCCTGAATATTGTCAATATAAGCATTGTATGCCAGCGATATTTGCAGTTTAATATCTGCCCTAAGCCTAGAAAAAATTGTATATACAGCACGGTCACCAGTACGTTTCCACTCTCGATGCAGATAGGCTTTCTGCTTAATATTTCCGATTATATGCGCAGTGAACCAGATCGGATACCGCCTACCAGGCTTGCTAGATCTTATCTTCCTGGGTATGCATTTATCGAAAACATCATACATCAACCGATAAAAATGCTCTACAGCAACGTTGGCATCACGGGCCTCGAGAACTTCCTTCCAAGATACCTCGGAGATCAAGTGGTAAAGAAGTTCATAATCTCCCCTAGAAAATTTCCAATCACCCTTTGGGTCTATGTTGCTAGGCTGAACCTTTAAAGGAATGGTTACTACATCAAGGAGTGGAATAGAGATATCCAATGGAGGATGATAAGCGTCGCGAAAAGGTACTAGGCCACCTCCCTCAAACTCACAGACATTTATGCGGTCAATGCACTCTCGTACCAGCACCACATCTAACACTCCTCCTTGCGCATTTAAAACTTCATTCGTCTCTCTTAAATTACAAACTGTAGTAAAATAACAATAATAACTTAAAATACTAGAAGATACATACTTAGGGTTCAGATTTAAGTCACCAACAATAACCACAACATCACGTATGGAATCGATAATGGATTCAACTTTTTGAAAAAAACTCAGATACACATCATCCGCAGCATTAGGTGGAATGTACACGACACACAAATGTAAATTGCTTTGTTCCATCACGACAGATGTCCATAAGTCTTCACCATGCGCAGTCTCAAACTCGCGTCTACGTTGCAGAGTGATTCCAGGCCGCGAGGCGACTAGCACACCACCTCCCTGTCGGCCAGTAGCACGACCACGGCGAATCAGACTCCACTCGCCACCCAATACTTCGGAATTTTCAACCGACTCAGATAGCCAGGATTCAGTAACGGCAATAATGTCACTCTCATGACTAAGAACACTTTGTCTAAAGAATTTCAACTTGGTGTTAAGACCTCGGACATTTTGATACGCTATGCTGATGGAACAATCATTCGTTGAGGCACGCTCACGAGAACACCCTTTGTCTCGGAAAAAAACACATTTTAACTCGTGCATTTTCTGGCCACACGTCTGCTGATATGCATCTATTAAAGTAAGCAGCAGGGACACCTAGTTTATACGATTTATAGTCACCTCTAGACTTGAGCTCTTCCACTGTGCAAGTTCCTTCCGGACACAGGTTCTTAAGATATCCTCGGACCTCCTCAACACCAGACAACATGTTCCATAAGTGGATATGCTTTCGGTCCTCGACCGCCCTTAGAGTGGTGACATTAGGGCCTGCGGTACAGCGTACTGAGGTAAGGCGTCTCTGTTTTTTTGATCGAGGCTTCTCCCATTTCCCGTCCGCGATATCATCAGTGTCATTTATAGATATGCTGTCAAGTCCATAGCCACTCTGCTGGATACCCCTAGGGCCTTCGTCATGAGGGGCCGCAACTGCACTACGAATCTCACTCGTTGGCCTGGCCTTTGGTACGACAGGTTCAATGACACTGCCCGCGGCACGCTGCTTCTCCTTACCGATGCGGTTGTGTGTCTGGCCACGCGGTTTAGGTACTTTACTCGACTTCAGAGCATCGACATAAGGAGCAGTGGTAAGCGGGCCACGAGATTTAAAGGAATCCTCCAGCGCCATGAGTTTATCGCTTATTGCCTCGACTTTGCATGTGCATATTGTAAGAGCCGAGTGGTACTGCCCTATGGTGGTAACCGCGTCTGCGAGCTGTTCTGTAAGTGATGTAATTTGCTCGCGAAGTAGATGGATTTCCAGGGTGGCAGACGTGGACATGGATACATTAGTCTCCGAAGACCGTTGACGCTGTTGAGCGGTACTGGAACCTGAGGAAGGCTTTCTTAGCGCTATATTCTTGACATTAAGTGGGGTACCAACTGGAATTTCACAGTTTCGGCCTCCTTTCCTAATAGTACACGTACATTCAGGACACACCCAAGTGGCCTTTTCATTGGCCGAAAGGGCCCTATTGTTACATGCATAATGGTATAATTTTCCGCAAGTCTCCACCATACATTGTAAGAATTCTTCCCCCAACGACAGGTCTGTCTGACAGGCGCCGCAAATCATGGATGTTATTATGAAGCAATAGTAACATTTTCACAGATAAGAAATTTGTTCTAACAGAACAGTTTAGCTTTATGCTGGCCGTAATTTGCGGTTTTTGAACACATTATAGGGAGTTTATGATATGTGTGTAGATAAAAGTAATAAGCATCCCTAACGTAAACATTCTGATTGAGCGCCGACGGGGAGCGCGATATGGTACACATGCATTACAATTTTTATGTCAATGTTTGTTTGTTGCAGGATTCAGGAAGATAACCTTGGACGAACTGCAACGTGCCCACGTATCGGCAGACGTGCAAAGATATGTTCTAGCCAGACTCGACACCGAGCCTCGACTCAGGTATTATAAATTGGAAATTATAATGTTACAAAATATTGAAAAGAAATTAGAATAGCTCTGAATATATATACTTTAGATAATAAAAGGTGTATCATATTAGCGAAAGTCTTTCTTCTGTAAAAAGACAAATATCACTCACTATACTGTGTCCAACCGTTTGTTTTACTTTTGACATAATCATGTCTATAAATTTTAATAATTATTGATAGGCAATTATAGACAAAAAATGCAATACTTTGTGGACACTGTTTTTTCTTTCTGTAGTGGAGCGACGTAACTGTTTACCTCTGATAATTCTATCGAGTCCACAGATTATGTAAACAAAAATTTCTCAAGTTGATTTTTCCGTTGTATTGGTTTTGGTGCCTGCCTAATAAATTATAATATTTATAATTAATTTCAATTGTTTATCATAATGAATTATTCTCTATGTGAACTGGAAGCGTCACTTGAACCCTCTGTAATATTAATAATAAATTTATTTTTTATTACACAACATCGCGTACATTGCTCTGATCCCAAAGTAAGTAAAGAACTTGGAAATTAGAAACAACGACGGTACCACAAACACCCAGACCCGAGACAATGTAGAAAAGTTAGTTTTCTGCATTGACCCGGCCGGGGATCGAACCCGGGACCTCAGAGATGGTGATACCATGAGAACCGATGTGCAAGCCACTTGACCACGAAGGTCCTCATCGACGTCAAGGTCGTTGAGTGTCATTGCGTTGCAGAGCGCGCGTGTCGTGCGACTCGTTGGCCGCCGCCGCCGCCGCGCACGCGCTGGACCACCTGCGCATCAAGAGCGACGGCTGCCTGCTCTACCTCGAGAAGGTGCGCTGCGTACTATAATAAAGCTAATAGTATAACTACCGCCTATTTGGTGCGTCAATGCGTAGTGTTGCCATATTGTTACTTTAGTCGTTCCGGCAGGTTGTAATTGAATTTTGTAATTTGAATAATCTCAGTACAGAGTAGTTAAAACGTGTGCGCGAGGATCAATGGACCAAACGAGATATATAAATCAAACTGTGCTCGTTATTTACTACCTATGTTCTACTATTTAGTACCTTAATGAAAAATGTGTCAAATATTTTCTACCTTTGTGCTGACGGAAATATTAAAGAAATAGAATGGCCAAGCCATTTTGACGTCAAGTTGGCTGGACCATTTTACGTTTTCATGTTTCTGGCAGTATATATTGTACTTTTTTTTATAACTATTTACTACCGAATGTCTACCTAAAGATACTTTTTTTTTTCACAATTGTAGGAAGCTTCTGTCAAAAGTTACTTAAAAAAAAATTGCATAAGGTATCTATTTGCCAAGTTTTATTAAAATCGGTTACCGGAAAGTGCGCTAAAACGGCTTTCATCCCCTAATATGTCACCCTTACAAGTGATGGGATGGGAATATTTTTTTCAAATTTAAATGTGACCACTACCGAGGAACCCTCTTTCAACAAAAAAACGAATCAATCGGTTCCCGAATGCCAAAGTTATCGCGTAGCATACATACAAATAAAACGTACAAACGAATTGAGAACCTCCTCTTTTTTTCAAGTCGGTTGATAAATGGGGTATTCGTCACAGTGTTCTTGTACCCTTGGCAAATGCGCTACTTATATAGATTCATTTGTAAAATACTAACAACCGTTCAGGACTAAACTCCTAACATCATTAACAAAAATTTTTATTTCATGACTTTTTACTTACTTGAAAACATAATAAATTCACCAAAAATAAACCTTTTATACTGTCTGACACTTTTTAGATTGCATTCTGCATTTGGTAGTAAATTCCACATTCGGGTGTGTTTATTTCTGGTCACATTTCAGGTTCTGGATGGCGTTGCAGACGGGTTTATTGCCCTTCGCGAAATCAGAGAGATTCCAGGCACATTGAATGGACTATACTTGTGGTTGGCGCAACGACTGTTTCACGGGAGACGATTCACAAAGGTAGTTTTGGTAATTTTCATGTACGAGGTTTCTAATTTCCGCTTGCTTTGTCCTTGACCTTAAAGACATAGAGGATCTATACGAGATTTTGATCAAACATGGTATACTCAGTCCAACCGTTTATTTAACTTTTGACATATGCATGCCTCCGAAGTTCCTTTGTTATTGACATACAAACATAGACAAAAAAAGCAATACTACCTGGACTCTTTTGTTTTCTTAAATTTTAGTGAAGCAACGAGTTTTAGCTCCGATATTTATCGAGCCAATTAATACATTATGTAACGAAGTTTATTCAAATTGATAAATTTTGATATCTATCTAATAAATTATAATGAAATGAAATAAATTATAAATAATTATAATAAATTCTTATTGTTTATTATAATGAATCGTCGGATTCTTCTCCATGTTAACGGGAATCATCACTTGAATCCTCATTAACATTAATTATTATTAATTCTTGAGTACACAAATTGTCAAACGCAAAATCTCGATACAATCAGACAATATCTTACGAGACCAAATGTTCACGATTCAAACTTCTTCATAAATAAAATCGATTGTTATAAAAATTCGAATTGAAAACTCATTAGGACACCACTAATTGATTAGAATTCGAGCTGTGAAAAGTGAAATAAATGTTTGGACGTAGTAGCAGTAGATCTCTTTGTGTAAGAGTTTGTCTAGGAAAGTACTGCGTTTCTGCGTCTGCGCACATGAGACTTGTCAACTTTATGTCCCAGGGTGATGGCGGTCCTGATGTCTTTGCGGTTTAAAGCAGCGGTATTATAATTGTTATGGGTAGGCGTGTCTCTTACCATTACGGACTGATATCATGAAAAAATATTCTAATTGAAAAAATAAAACAAATATCTTTCATTCCAGGTCCGTCTCCTCTTGGACGTGCTGCTGGCAGCTCGCTGCGGAGTCACCGAGGAGATGCTCTACAAATGCCTCCTTACAAAAGAATACAGCGTCACCAGGGAGGATTTCAACAGGCGGTTGCATTTACTGAGAAGGTATGTTTTTATACCGCTCCACAGTTGGACATGGTCTTCCCAGAAAACTTTGTGAGATCCGAATACGATATTACTGCCATTGTTAGAGGAGGCCTGTGTCTGGTAGTGGAACCATACAAGGTTATTTGTAAAATGTTAACAACCTCGCAGAAGTGTCTTATTACCAACATAAACAACCATTTTTGTTTAATCGCTTTTAATAATTCATCATCAATTTTACTTTCGTACAAAAACAAAATAAAATAAACGGTGATAAATCTGTGAAATAACAAAAGAAAGCGGTAGCGTAAATACCAGTCCGATGCAAAACGCAGGACGGATGTGGGGGTCGTTGGAGAAGGTACTTGTACGTTTCAACTTAATACTAAATGTATGTAGTTTTAGATCTGTATCTAAAAAGTGTCAGGTAATACAGGCGGTAGCATATCAAGCTATGGAAAAGTCAATGGCAATGTGGCGGATCTTATTCCATTGCTGTGGATGTGATATTAGCTAGCTACAGTTGAAGACTGAAAATCAGCAATGCTGAGTCTTTAACCTTTTTGTCCACATCACTCAATTGTTTTTTGTATTCGTTTTTTAAATATTGTGTTTCTTATGTTTTGTTGAGAAATAAATGTCTTTTTATTTTTTATTATTATTTTGCATTCGAACAAAAGTGTATGGCTTGATATGCTGTTGATTGTACATGCAACAAAGACATTAAAAAATATTTTTCATCAATCAATCAATCAATCAATTTATTTATTTATCAGAATAAGGTACTGTAGTCTAGGCTCTATGAGTAGAAATACTGGCTGAATGAATATAGGTTTTAGTTTGGAATGTATTTAAAAAAATAAGACAGAAAAAACAGGAATATCTTGGCAATTCTAGACTAGGGGTCGTATTCCAGAACTCTACTAGTCAGGACTTGAGTATTGCAGTGAGCACTGAAAATCATA